TCAAGTATTATCTCTTTGCTTCACATCTCCATGTAGTGGCTGTTGGCAGGGGTGACAAAGGACTGATGGACAGAGACTGCAGAGGATAGGTCTGTCCCTGTTCCTGTGAAGACAACAAAGGACAAAAAAATATCTGTATTCCTGAAGTATTAAAACTAACCACTGGGAACTCAAGGTGGTTTTTTTTTTGCACCTTGTGACCAAATGGGACTGCCAAGCCATCAAGGACAGGGCGCTTTCTGACTCTACCCATACAAAGCCTACAGCAGAACCTCCACTAAGAGTGTGAGGCTTGTGACAGACATCCAAGGGCAGGGCTGTGTGCCTCCCACAGGCATTTTTCTCCATCTTGTGGGCTGTGGGCAAGGAAGCATGCAAATGCAAACAAAGTTTAGAACAGGAGCAGGCACTGGTCAAGTTCAAACTTTGCCTTTGCCCAGCCTGAAAAGAGGAGGGGCAGGTGCCTGTTCCCTAACATGGATCAGAAGCCGGGCCTGGCCTGGCACTGAAAGGAGCCAGGCACTGCAGTAAAGGTGAACGTGGTGTGTTGTGTGTACAGGGCTGGAGGGCCGTGGAAATGCAGGGAAAGTGCCAGGAAAAAACTGTGTCGACTTGAGGAAAGTATATTTGATGCAAAATGCCAGGACTGGTGGTAGGACTTGGGACAGGCAGCCCTTGTTTTCTGTAACATACCTCCAACTCTGTCATGAGGAGGGCACATCAAACCTTCCACTTCAGTTCTTCCTTTTCCTCAGTTTAACCACTGGTATACAGAAACTCACCCTTACTCAGCAATGCTAATCACTTCCTACCCTGAACCTGCAGTCTGGCATGTTTCTTAACCAAGGGCTCTTGCCTGCGTCTCCCTCCCTTCCTCCCTCCCTCTCTCCCTCTCCATACTCTTCAGGACCATGCCTGTGATGACAAAAGAGGTGTTGGGCCCTCACCTCATTCGCAAGGGGCATGGTAGCTCATCACCGTAGTTTCTTCTGGAAGACAAGAAAAAAAAAAGTGTTGGTGATATACGCTTGCCAAAAACTCAGTAAAGCAACCCAGCATTGTGCCTCTGTTTCAAGGAAACAGAAAGGACACATGAAATCACTGGTATTTGTCAAAGACTCTGTGTGTAACTATTCTGGATTCACCCAAGTCATGGGGCCTGTGATCTTTAAAAGCTGTAAGTCCTAAACAGCTTCATACAGTTATGGATTCCTCACTTTCTGAAGCAATAGCCATCCCTGACACACTTCTAGCTTTTCCTCCCACTAGGGACCCCAGAGAACAAGTTGTTTTCAGTGTCATTCTTCTAAGGAGGCCTACTTCTAGCTTTTCCTTCCACTAGGGACCCCAGAGAACTTTTCAGTGTCATTCTTCTAAGGAGGCCCTCACTCTTCTAAGCCATCTCCTTACTATAGTCCCTCTGCCTTTGCTGCCTCCCACAAAATGAGTGTGCAAAAGCATGGCCCTGAGCTCCTTGCTCCCCTTTTGTTGGAAGAGATAGACCCTAAGTGGATCCGCATGCCAACTTCAAGCTTGCAAGTTGTGAGGCCAGAGAAAGAAGGATCTACTCTTCTGAAACCTAAGTGGGTAAGTCCATCACTAGAGAGCTTCTAAGAGGCAGTTACACAAAAATGTCAGGGATGTATTGTCTTAGACTTGACAATTTCAGAATTATCCATTATACGTTTGGGTGGTTTCTGCAGTACAGCATCTGAACTTACCTGGCATGTAGTAATCGTAGACCTTGATATTAGCTGGCTTTCGATCCTTCACTTGCATGTCCTGCTGCACCAGCAAAGTGTAGGTGTGAGGCTGTCTAGTCAGCTAAGACCAAGAGATCCAAGTATTACAGCCAAACCCAAAGTCCTGCACGACAATCCCTTCCACCTTCTCTCACTCAGGCTCCTGTGGAGACTTCACTGCTGTGACAGATCTTTTCTGTTTTCTGGTCCATCTCAGAAATATCTTTTACTTCACATTCTGTGGCCATCTCCCATTTTTGGTCACCAAATTTAACTCAGCTCATGAGAGACATCAAACTCACACAGTCAATATGAATTAGGTATCTAAATATAGCGCTCGTGTTCCCAGCCAATCCCACGTTCCCATCCAGCTCTGCTCTGAGCTCCTTCATGCGTCTTGTCTCAGTGGCTACTTTCTTATACACAGTCGCATCGTATCCATTCTTATTCTCCAGTTTCACACAACCCTCATCATTAAGCAAACAAACGCAAGGTGTGGATGAACATCTGCTGGATGGTATTGGTTACACGACCTGCTGTTGATTTGGTTCCACCTTGTCCTGCCTGGCAGCCTGATCTGAAATCTTTCTTTGTGAGGCTTTTCTGCTCTGTGCTGTAGGTGTAATGGAAGCAGCACCTCTGCAAGTCTAATGCATCCATATAGTAATAACTTGCTTACTATGAGGCTAGCTTAGCCCAGCTTATTGACAAGTGGGGATGAAGAAACACAGAAATGTACAAGTGCTCCTTGGAAATTCAGAAGTTTTAAAATTCATGCCAGGTCTTGTTTCTGGTGTTTAGGTATGCATGTAGCTAGAGAAAGGCTGGAGTTGTTACTCTGTCGACTAATGAGGCTGTGTAGCGAGCACTGCTGCTCACACAACCATGTGGTCTAATTTTGAGTGATCTTAGCAAACTCCATGAGCAATCTTGGATGCTCTCTACTACATTCAGGCTGCTTAAGGGTTTTCTAAGAGTTCAGGTTTGCTTGAACTTACTAGATGGATCCTACTACTACTCCCCAGTCCTGATCAGACACTGTAGAAGGACTTTGAACAGCCTCTGAACAGTGCCAACAGGTGTAGGCTTAATATCAGAGTTAGCCTCATTTCACTCAAGTTAAGTGGCCCTGTATACAGGCTCTACAGCTGAACTACTGCAGGTTGACACAATGCACTTCTCCAGGTCAGCAAATGTGACTGGTATACCAGAACAACAGCTCTGGATGCTTAAAATACTAATAAAACCAAGATACAAGAGTAAGCTAAGAGCTATCTGCTAGTCCCTAGTCCTTTTAATTATAACTTTATAAACATTAGCCTAAATTCCACTCACTTCCTTCAGGTAGAGAATGACTCGGTCAGCTTCACTTTCAACTTTCTTCACTAAAGGCATTTTCTTTAGCTGAAAATAGGGGAAAAAGATGTCAGAAAGACTCTAACAGAAAGCAGAAATATTCAGGGATATTTGTTGTTGTGAGAGCATGGGCAAATTTTTCACATGGCCAAGGAAACCCTTGGGGTAGGGGAAGGCAAGGTGGGGCCTGGAAGAGACTTTGGGTATAAAGATTTCTTGGGAAGAAAAGAACCATGTTTCTTTACCCACAGGAATGATCACAGTTCTGCATACAATCCTGTATGATGGACATCCATCACCATTCCCACCCCAGCTGGACAAACTTGCAGTCTCACCTCTTCCAATGAATCTGCTACAGGGCTGTATCCAGAGAGCAGCTCCACTTGGATCAGGACCATGTTGGTGGACACACGGTTTCCTGTGTAGCTGCAGCAGGAACCCAGTAACTAATGTTACTTTCTGAGGCATGAAGCTGAAGCCCAGCTTTGGTACTTAAGTGGAGGAATCTGCCTTTCCTTCCAGTGTTTCTCCTGTAAGCATACCTGTTCCTGTAGAGTTATAAATCTTTGTGCTTTGCCTGATCTGTCTTTTAATTGTGCCGAGCCAAGGAGAATGAATTCCTCAGCAGGCTTCTGGACTTACTTTCTCTAGGCATGGCAGGGAATATCACATCCTTTGCCTGCTCTCTTGGTAGTTCTGTCACAAGTCAGGTAGGGATACAGCAGAGGAAAGTGGTGTGGCAGCCAAGCAAGAGCAGAGGAGGGAAGACTTAGGAATAAGTGTCAGCAGTCAGTCCCACAGGACCTTCACATCACTGTTTTGAGACCTAATCCTAGAAGGGGGTGAGACTCATAGACCTTGGGAGAACTTGTGGTGACTGGCATGATGATGAGATAGGACTATAGCCTGATCTGTCCTTCTGGGGCCTTGTACCTTTCACCCAGCTGAGGAGAGCATAGTTAAATGAATGGGGATATCTTAGCACTTGGACCTCATGAGCGAAGGGAAGCCCTCCCCATCAAGAGACTGATGTGGTGCCAGAAGTCTCTTAGTACAAGGGGAGGCAAGGGGCAATTAAGTGTCTCCTACCGAGCATGAATGGTGACAGGGAACTGGGTGGCGTTGGGTGCGGTGCACTCTGTCTGCACAGACATGGCAAAGGTGGCGTCGCTCCTCAGTGGAGGGATGTGGTACCGCAGAATGGCCTGTCGGGACAGAAAGAAGCTAGCGGGCTGAGAACAGCGGGTGTTTTGCTGGTTAATATTCTTGTCTAGCGTTTGGCTGCTGTTTGCTATCTTGCACTGGTGTAAGAGAAAACTATGTGGCATAAGTGGAGGTTCTGCTAGTGCACTGCTGATTGTGTTCACTGGACTTCTTGGAGAAGTGTTGCAGCTCTGCCTGGGTGAATATAATCCAGACTTCATTTGAGGAATTGTTATTCCCTTTCTGTTGGATCCCAGCTACTCTTCCAGCCTTGAAGCCCAGATTATTTTAAGTCACTGCAGCAGTTTTTCATTCTTGTCTAAAAGTAGCAAGGTGAGAGGTCCCCTCACTTTCAAGGCTTTTTCCCAGACAAACCTTTTCTCCCTGGCTGGGCTTACCTGCAGGAAGAGGCACCCATGGCCCTGCACATGCACAGTATAATCTTGGGGAATGGCTGGCAGCTCCACTGTCTGCAGCAAGAGGCGATTGGTGGTGTCTACTCGGATGTTTTGGCTGAAACCCTCAGAGGAGAGAGAAGCCTGCAGATCAGGGCCATCCTTGCTGAAGGTCTTGGTTGCATACAGGGCTAGGGCTTCCAGAGCAACCACCGTGTCCTGAGGAAAGAAAAACACATTGGGCAAAATAGAATCCCTGCTTCCTGCGCATGTCCTTAGCCTTTCCCTTCCTCACACTGCAGCTACAGCACAATAAGTGTTGAATTTTCCCCTTGGACTTTTAGCATGGGATTAGCTCAGAGGAATACAAATATTCACCCTTTCCCAACTCCCAGGAGCTGTAAATGCATAATTTTTTTTCTCTCTCTCCCCGCCCCCCCCCCTTTTTTTTTTTTCTTTTTTTACTACGGGTTATGCTAGAACCCATTGCTCTCATAAACCATAGCTGACGGCATGTTCTCTGTTAATGATGGCGCAAGGGGATTACCTGAGTTGAAGCAAAGCCTCCATAAGGGTTTTGCTGCTTGGTGAGCCAAGACACAATCTGGGATGCCTTCCTGATTTCATCTGAAGACAAACTTGACTTTGAAAGGTGAGCCATGAGGATACTAGATGTCAATTCCACATCAACAGATGGAGCCCGATACCAATATAGGGAGTCTTCTTCCTGTTTGGACTGTTGACTCCAGAATATTTGGTCATCTAGAGGTGGAGTGGGAACACTTATGGAGTGTGTAGCTGTATCTAATGACCTTGGAGTCCTACTCAGCTCCTGTGCCTAGGTATTGAGTGAACATGTACATTGGACAAGATATGAGTGCGTATCTTCCTATTTGCCCCCCTCCCTCTGCCCTTTTCTCAGTAAAATCCTAGGCCTGCAGGCTGGGAAGGAGCTCTACAACATCCATGAATGTCTCCTGGTTTGGATGACTGGAAGATCAGGACTGTGAGATCATCCATAGAGCAAGTGTGTCTCACAATATGGATGTAGCTGTGACAGCTTGGCAAACAGAGGCTGTCCAAGCCTTTGTCTCCCCACAGAGCTCTGCCAGTGCCCTCTGCTGCTGCCCTGCATTCCCTTGGTTGCTCTGCCCTGGGATCCCCACATGGTTCTGCCCATGACCCTCTCTCTTGCCCCCATGGTCTTTGGTACCTGATATTATGGCCGCCTTATCCAATCTTTTGAGGATTTTCTGCCTGAGAACCTTATCACCTGCTACTGCAAATGCGTTTGCAGCTAGTGCCAGGCTGTAGAGGTTGGAACTGCTGGTATCAGCATTGACCAGGTCCTTTACACATTTCAGAGCTTTCAACACAACTGGGTCCTAGGATACAAATGAAAGCACACCGGTTGCTGGCAGGGTGTATGGGGAGGGAAAGCAGCCTTGATGTGTGCAGAGAAGGATGGAAATAGGGAAAGGACACAAGGGGAGGATTCTGGTAAGGTACCGCTGTGTGGCTGAAGGCAGAGTGCCAGTGCACTGCCTGCTGAGAGGCCGCACACAAAGCTCGTCCCTGCTGCCGATACTCACAGAGCGTGGCATCCCTGAGTGTAGGAGAGCTGTGATGATCACAGAGGTCAGTCCCAGTCCTTCCTCCACTGCACCCTGCAGCCATCACAAAAGAGAGGACAGGAGGGCTGCTGTGAGAAGGGAGAGGGAGAAGTTTTCCAGTGTCTTCTGCTCCATGAGCAAATTCCAAGCCAGTGCAGGCAACAGTGCTGGTCCTGTTCCTCTACTAAGGAAGCCCCAGGGCTAGTATCTGCTCTTGCAGGTCCTGCTTTCTGGAGCATTTCTCAGCTGCAGTGCCCCAAGCTCTGCTGGGTAGATGATTCCCTCCCTCTGCTGAACACATTCCCCTTTCCCCTCCCCTGCAAAAGATTTTCAGTAGCAGATTTCAGTGCCAGGCGAAAGTGATGTTGCCACAACCCTACTGCAAGGTGGCACCTCAGCTGAGGGCCAGGACAGTGGCAAGGGTATGGAGGAGCAAAAGAAATGGTAGATTTTGCAAGGGGAGGTTTAATTATCTGCGGTTCTGCCCACCAAACTGCTGCTGGCTCTGCTTTGGTGGTACTTCGTGTGCGTCTGTGCATGCATAAATGCTGTGTTCCTGAGTGTATAGGGAGCTTCCCCGGCCAGGTGAGTCTCACATGGGTGGCTGCCATCACTCTCCATTCACTCCATTTCTGATTGTCTCTGTACATGGGGGAACTCAGACTGAAGGACAAATGGCAGCTTAATAATGAGAAAGGAAGCTGAAACAGTTTACCAAGGGAATAACACAGAGCTTGGAAACCTTTTTAACACTTTTTTTTTTTTTTTTTTAAGGCATGTATTAGCTTTTGAGATGGGGCTAGGGCAGGGCATTGGCCCAGTGGGTAAAACTCAAGTGTAAACCTCTATCATTCATAACCTGAAAAAGTGTCACCATGACTAAGCACAACCCTGAGTGTCATCCAAGGGTGACCTTGGGCACATCAGAGCCTCCCTCCCGCAGTAGGGTTCCTTTGTCCTTGGCACCCAAATTGGCCCAGAAAATGAAGGCGCTCTGAAGTACCTAATGAACAGCCAGGACATGTCATACCATAAGACCATTGTTGAAGAGCTTCCCCACACTCTTGAAGCAGCCAGATGGAGTCTGACTTTTAATCAGGGCACTGGCAGCATCCTTTATATTCTGCTCATCTATGTGGATGAAGTCCTGGGCTTGGCTGAAGGTCTTGAGGACAAGGGCAGTAAGCCTAGACCCAAGGAAGGGAGAAGAAAATCAGTCTGAACCAGTCACTGATGCTGAACCAGTCACTCCAGTAGGAGATAGAAGCCTCTGTGTCTTCCACTGTCTCACCCCTGGAGAAATACCAGCAGGCCAGAGCCTCTGTGCAGGTGGAGAATGCGGAGCAATGCACACGAGATAGGTGCTTTTGAAGCTTAAGCTCAGATCCATTTGCAGCAAGAGATAAAAAATTCACTGACAGTTCAGTGCTTCCCCCAGACCCCTGCCAATTCCAACAGGGTGCACTTACGTGATTTAAAGCCAGGAGGGTTGGTACTTAGTGAGCTCACACAGTCCCTGCCCCAAACCTGTTTGGGCACAAAGGACTCTGGAAAACCTGGGAAGAAGAAAGCTTTGCAGCCAAGTTTTCAGAATCAGCCTCAGTTAGGGTACCCAAGCACAAACAATCAAACAGGGGTACCTCCAGCCAGTTCATTGGCATGGTTCTCTTCCAAAAATCTCAGGAACAGTTTCTTTTCAAAACTCCACTCCTCCAGACTCCCTCAGTTTCCCCAGGCCAAAATGCAAGCCAGCTTGAGCCTGACCAGGTAAAGCCATTGTTCCTCAACTGTGTCTGGATATGTCTGCTTACCATGTGTTCCCTGGCTCGCTTCCTTCCCCGAAGGCACTGTATGAGCCATCTGTGTGCTTGTACAGGAGTTGCCGCTGATATCCTGTGGGAAGAGGCTGGGGTTAGTGAAAATGTTCTGTACTATCATGTTCTTAAGGTGATTACCTGCCCAGGGTTGCCTGCTGATCCTTATAGAGAGCATTGTCACTGAGGAATTCAGCAAAGGGCTTTCAGAGGGTGCCATGGACCCCCTGTTCAGCTGAGAGACAGCAGCCTGATTTACACTGCTGTAATTCCTATGGTGTCAGGCAAGTGATGCTGCACAAACCCTGTTCAGCACCAAGCCTCTGCTGAGATCCTCACTGCACAACCTATTGTAGTGGACATCACCAGCTTAATAACCCAACAAGAGCAGAAATCCACTCACCACTTTCCAGATAGCCAATTGCCTTCTGTTTAATTTCTGGAGTCAGTTGTCCTGTTTCTTCGAGGTATCGTGTGATAAAGACATTGGGTGCAAAATGAACCATGTTCTGCTCACCACAGCCACTGGACATCTGGAGGAGCTCATCTATGTTGTCCAGTGCTGTTCCCAAAATGTCACCTGTAGGACAGAACCACAGCTTTGGGAGCTTTGCATATTCTTGTGTGTAAAAAAATTATGGTTTCACCGATTCTGCAGATAACCTTCTAAGACTGGTCTCAGTTCACCTCTGCTCACACTAGGGTGACTTTAGTGTCTATAGAGCCCTGTAGGAACAGTGATATGGTAGTTGTCTATCTTTCCCTTGGCTGGGTGAAATTATATGTCCATCCGGCCCAGTGTCACTTGTATAAGAAAGATGGGGTGTTTCTCTGAAAGACATAAGGGCCCAGTATCTCACCTCACCGTACATGTTCCCTCTTGTTACTCTCTTTGCTAAAGCAGACATGGTGGCACCAGAAGAAAAAACTCCTGCAGGGAAAAATCTTACTTTCCAAGACCCCCCTAAACCTCACCTAAGAAAGAGATGTGGGCTCTCTCCGACCCAAGGATCCTGTTCTCTGGCATAGTGAAAGTGATTGTCTCTGAAGCTGAAGTTCCTGCAAATGGCAAAAGCATCAGAACAACACCACACGAGAAGGAGATGGCAGACCCACAGATATCCCCAAGAGATGATGTAAACAAAGCTGGGATCACCTCATCATTTGGTGAAATCAGCATTCAAAAGAGAGGATGACACAGATCAGGCCAGCCACTGATGAGTGACTGTGATATGCTTAGGCAGTAGCTTGGTGCTGCCAGGATCTTGTAGTACTGGGTAGAGCTGAAGGGCTTTGTCTGCCCATAAAAGCTCCAAAATCCCTGACTTTCCTCTCCCCATGCACCCCCAGATAGTCCTAGAGTTGTTCACAGACCACACTGCTTCTGTTTGGTCTCCTTGCTCTGTGCACATGTACGGCCCCAGTGGTAAGACAGTCCCTGTCTTGGGGGTACCTGCACCTACCTTTAGGGCACAGGAGTGAGGTGTGGGTCTTTTCCTCCAGCAGCCCTTCTGCCTGGTGGGGAAAGGCTGGTCAGCTCAGAAGGGAGAGCAGAAAAATGTGATAGCAGCTGCACAGCACCCCACTTTCCTGCAAGCACCTCCTCCATCCTTATGGGCTATGCAAAGGGCCTCACATAGACAGCAGGGATATGTGTGCCAACAGTGAATTTTCACTGGGAAGTAGGTTTCTAAGCTGCTACATGGCCTCTGCCCCCATTGGCCTTCTAGCAAGCACTTCTGACATTTCTGTCCCACCAAGTGGCAGTGCTCAGCTCACCCCCTGACCCAACCTAGCCTTAGAATCACTCCTTGACCAGCATGCCTGGGAAACATGCCTACCTGCCTAACCAACTCTCCCCTCCCAGAGCCACCCACTGGGCCATTTTGAGCCTGACCCAGTTCCGATCTCGCCAGGACCCTGAAGCGTACTCTGACCTTCACCAGCAGGTGTTTAACCACTGTGTCCTTCCCTCCAGACTCTGGCGCAACAGCTGTACTCTCAGTGCAAACACCTTCCTTCTCGATCACCTCAGCAGTGACAGTGAAATTCACCTTCCCTAAAGAACAAAACACCAAGAGGCCAGTTGGTACATCCATGCCTACATTTTCATTTGCTCAGCCTAAGGCTGCCCACTTGTGCTTTGCATAATATGCCACTCTGTCTTCTAGCCCAGCTCTGGTTTCTTCAAGCATCTCTGCCAGTGCCTCCCACTTCTGCCCCTCCCTTGTCCCCTTACCTAATTTGGTAGCCTTCACGTCCCAGAAAAATGATTTTGCTGAATCAGGACACAGACAAATAGTGAACCTGACATTTGCATGCACAAATTCAAAAT